GCCTCGGTGCAGAGATCAAAAGGCATCTGCAGGTATTTGGAAGAAATAAACTCAGCATGCAGCGGGGGTAAATTCTGCCCTCTGAAACAACTTAAGAGGAAGGTTTAATGGAAATGAGAAGTCAACATAGGATGCCTGTAGCCCAATGGTAGCAGTTATCACTATCCACACAAGCAGTTGGGCTCATCTTTTAAAAGGGAACACTATACCAGTTAAAATGTACAACAGGGATATGACAGCATATGACATCTCAAAACATACAAACTGCCTAAGCCAACTGTTTAGATGACTCTGAACTGTATTAGCTCACCTATTGCATCTGTTTTTACTGTATGCAGTTTAGTTGTAGCAGAAGTTGGTCCCATGCAAGATATTACCTCACCCACCTTGTATCTCTAATTTAGTGTAATCTTGGGCCTTCCTTGAGCTGAAGACTTTCAGCTCAGGATTGAGATATACAAGTAGAGCTTTGTGGTGGAAGCAACAGCAACATGTAGCTATGGCATTGCTTTCAGCCTATTGTATTGGGCCTCTAGCCAGTTGATACAATATAAATTGTTTCAAACCTCTGGTGTGTTTCTCCCAGTTCCCATCCACTTCAATATTGTAAGAGAATGATTTGTAGGACACCTCTTCTGATAACTTAGTAGTGTAAGAGGCTGGAACGCGCATTAAAACTGTACCCTCAGGGTGAAGCCTGTTACACTTCAGACCATGGTGCCCTAGAACAAGTGGTTCTGTTGCCATGCAGCACGGGAAGAGAAGTTGGAACTCTGTGTGCCTGGCACAGATTAGTCTGGCAAGTGAACTGAACTCTTGTTTCAAACTCCATAAGAGGTTTACCGTGGCCTGCCATGAGGGGAGGAATAAACAAGAGGGAGCTCACTTCAGACTTTCTGGGGAAAAAATTAATTATATGGCTGAAACAGAATCTAAAAGATATATGGTAATCAACAGAAGAGGCAAGGAATCAGGGCTGTGTAATCTTCTATCACTTGCCAGCTGTTTGCTGAAAATGTTCTTTTGTGTGGAGTTGGGTTTGGATTAGTCATTTAACACCTGCAGGCAAAAATGTAGTACAAGAACATGTGAAAATTGTTGAAGCAAAACTGTCCTGACATCTGATTAGAAAATGCAGATAGCGTAAGAATGGAATTAGATGGATCCAGCTGTAGTTTTATACTTCAATAAAGTATGCAGCTGACATCAATTAAGTAGCAAATACTTATTGGGGCTCTTATGTGCTTTGAGCCTGGATCTAAGATTTATGCTGGAAGTTTTTGTTTTTGGGGAAGACTAAAGAAATTTTGAAACAGTCCTCAGTGGTATTGACTTGATTAGAATAATGGCCCTGAATGATTAGAATAATGGCCCTGCTAGAGGTATTTGGTGTTGAGGCCAAGAATTATTGGTATGATTTTCATGGGACCTGGTTATTAACCAGAAATGTGCTTCTAAAAGTAATAACTTCCTCTGCTCTTAAAACTACCTGAGGTTGCTGTAGTTTAAGAACACTTTGATCCAGGCTATTGTGCTAGAACTTAATGTAAATCATAACTGTGATAGCATTTTTATTAAAATATTGTATCAGTAGTCTGTTTTGGGGGTTTTTGTAACTGCTATTGGACATCTTGCTATTTCATTGATAAAGCAATTTAATTGCTTGGGATTAGACTTTAAATTTTTATTCTTCTTTCTTCTCAGATTAGAAATGTGTGACTAATCCAGAGTCTGAATCCCTTGACTTCTCATGTTAAATCAGATCTCTTAATGCTATAAGATTGAATAGCATAAGTGCAATAACCTTTGGTAAAATTGAAGTGGGCAAAAATCAAACATGCAAAGCTTCTAGTTTAAGTGAAGTTTTACTGCTGAATTTTGAAACTCTCATACATATGTTATTATTGTAAGACTTATCATTAATTATAACAAAGCTTATAGACATATCATTAATTATAACCATGCCAGTAACCATGAGATGAGTAGTTGAGATTAACAGATAGGTAGTTTAGTTTATATGTGGAAGGTAATATAACCAAAATACTAGAGGCAAGGTTTTCTGCTCTTGTAAAATGCTCAAGAAGATAATGAGTAAATCAGATGATAATCACAAGAACCTCCCAATTTAAAAAAGACCTGGCCAACAGGCAACTTCAACTGGTAACTTTTCATTAGTCTTAACACAGCCATGGTGTAATTAAACACTTTCCTTTCCTTTTCATAAAATAGTTTGACCCTAAAATGGAAGTCAGTCTCCCCCCGGCACACACACCCCCCACCCTGGGTAGCTTGTAGAAAAATAAACATGTCTGAGTTGAACTGATCCTTTAACCTTAGGATTTCTCAGGCTATAATCCTCTATGCCCCATAGTCTGATGTGAAGAACATAGTATAGTTTTTCTGTTGGCATTAATTTTGGAAAAACTCAGAAGTTCAAAATCATGGGTGACTTTAATTTTCCTGATATCTGCTGGGAGAGCAATACAGCAGTGCATAGACAATCCAGGAAGTTTTTGGAAAGCGTAGGGGACAATTTCCTGGCGCAAGTGCTAGAGGAGCCAACTAGGGGGGGGCGCTTTTCTTGACCTGCTGCTCACAAACCGGGTAGAATTAGTGGGGGAAGCAAAAGTGGATGGGAATCTGGGAGGCAGTGACCATGAGTTGGTTGAGTTCAGGATCCTGACGCAGGGAAGAAAGGTAAGCAGCAGGATACGGACCCTGGACTTCAGGAAAGCAGACTTCAACTCCCTCAGGGAACGGATGGCCAGGATCCCCTGGGGAACTAACATGAAGGGGAAAGGAGTCCAGGAGAGCTGGCTGTATTTCAAGGAATCCCTGTTGAGGTTACAGGGACAAACCATCCCGATGAGTCGAAAGAATAGTAAATATGGCAGGCGACCAGCTTGGCTTAATGGTGAAATCCTAGCGGATCTTAAACATAAAAAAGAAGCTTACAAGAAGTGGAAGGTTGGACATATGACCAGGGAAGAGTATAAAAATATTGCTCGGGCATGTAGGAATGAAATCAGGAGGGCCAAATTGCACCTGGAGCTGCAGCTAGCGAGCGATGTCAAGAGTAACAAGAAGGGTTTCTTCAGGTATGTTGGCAACAAGAAGAAAGCCAAGGAAAGTGTGGGCCCCTTACTGAATGAGGGAGGCAACCTAGTGACAGAGGATGTGGAAAAAGCTAATGTACTCAATGCTTTTTTTCCCTCTGTCTTCACTAACAAGGTCAGCTCCCAGACTGCTGCGCTGGGCATCACAAAATGGGGAAGAGATGGCCAGCTCTCTGTGGAGATAGAGGTGGTTAGGGACTATTTAGAAAAGCTGGACGTGCACAAGTCCATGGGGCCGGACGAGTTGCATCCGAGAGTGCTGAAGGAATTGGCGGCTGTGATTGCAGAGCCATTGGCCATTATCTTTGAAAACTCGTGGCGAACGGGGGAAGTCCCGGATGACTGGAAAAAGGCTAATGTAGTGCCAATCTTTAAAAAAGGGAAGAAGGAGGATCCTGGGAACTACAGGCCAGTCAGCCTCACCTCAGTCCCTGGAAAAATCATGGAGCAGGTCCTCAAAGAATCAATCCTGAAGCACTTGCATGAGAGGAAAGTGATCAGGAACAGCCAGCATGGATTCACCAAGGGAAGGTCATGCCTGACTAATCTAATCGCCTTTTATGATGAGATTACTGGTTCTGTGGATGAAGGGAAAGCAGTGGATGTATTGTTTCTTGACTTTAGCAAAGCTTTTGACATGGTCTCCCACAGTATTCTTGTCAGCAAGTTAAGGAAGTATGGGCTGGATGAATGCACTATAAGGTGGGTAGAAAGCTGGCTAGATTGTCGGGCTCAACGGGTAGTGATCAATGGCTCCATGTCTAGTTGGCAGCCGGTGTCAAGTGGAGTGCCCCAGGGGTCGGTCCTGGGGCCGGTTATGTTCAATATCTTCATAAATGATCTGGAGGATGGTGTGGATTGCACTCTCAGCAAATTTGCGGATGATACTAAACTGGGAGGAGTGGTAGATACGCTGGAGGGGAGGGATAGGATACAGAAGGACCTAGACAAATTGGAGGATTGGGCCAAAAGAAATCTGATGAGGTTCAATAAGGATAAGTGCAGGGTCCTGCACTTAGGACGGAAGAACCCAATGCACCGCTACAGACTAGGGGCCGAATGGCTAGGCAGCAGTTCTGCGGAAAAGGACCTAGGGGTGACAGTGGACGAGAAGCTGGATATGAGTCAGCAGTGTGCCCTTGTTGCCAAGAAGGCCAATGGCATTTTGGGATGTATAAGTAGGGGCATAGCGAGCAGATCGAGGGACGTGATCGTTCCCCTCTATTCAACATTGGTGAGGCCTCATCTGGAGTACTGTGTCCAGTTTTGGGCCCCTCACTACAAGAAGGATGTGGATAAATTGGAGAGAGTCCAGCGAAGGGCAACAAAAATGATTAGGGGTCTGGAACACATGACTTACGAGGAGAGGCTGAGGGAACTGGATTGTTTAGTCTGCAGAAGAGAAGAATGAGGGGGGATTTGATAGCTGCTTTCAACTACCTGAAAGGGGGTTCCAAAGAGGATGGCTCTAGACTGTTCTCAATGGTAGCAGATGACAGAACGAGGAGTAATGGTCTCAAGTTGCAGTGGGGGAGGTTTAGATTGGATATTAGGAAAAACTTTTTCACTATGAGGGTGGTGAAACACTGGAATGCGTTGCCTAGGGAGGTGGTAGAATCTCCTTCCTTAGAGGTTTTTAAGGTCAGGCTTGACAAAGCCCTGGCTGGGATGATTTAACTGGGAATTGGTCCTGCTTCAAGCAGGGGGGTTGGACTAGATGACCTTCTGGGGTCCCTTCCAACCCTGATATTCTATGATTCTGTGTGTAACCATCTTGCCTTTGATACTGAACTGGAATAGAGCTTTGGAATGACTAACTCTTTATTCTTACAGTAATAGACTTGCGTGCACTCTTTTTTTCTCTCTCTCTTTTTCATGTTATAGACCACTAAAGCATTCCTTCCCAAGATGCTGGAAATGAATCATGGACACATTGTGACAGTGGCGAGTTCCCTGGGATTGTTCAGTACTGCAGGAGTGGAGGTTTGTTTAACTGTGTAATAAAGATTACATGTTGCTTTATCACAAATGATAAATGCCTTCTCCTGTTGTCAACAATGTAGCGTAAGTAGGTTTGAAAGATTAGATTTTTGTCAGTAAATGTCAATTTCACTGTACACAAACTGATGAAAAGGTATCTCTATCGATATTTACCAAAATTTACAAATAGGCAAAGTAAGAAAAGCATTGTTTGAGAAATTATTAGTGTATTTAAAAGAAATTTACATTGTGTATTTTGACGTATGATGTTGACAGTTTGTTTTAACAGTTATAAAGCTTTAACTTTTTTGAAGCTCAGCATTTACTATCATTATATAATTTGTCTGACTGCTGCCACCCAATTTCCTGCAACTGTGAAAATTTAAATCCATGAAACTCACAAAAAATGCTTTAAAACAAATCTCAATATTATCCGTGGAAATTATCAAAACAGTCAACATGGAATTCTGTCAAACCTAACTTTCATCCTATGTGGAGAAAAAAATTACATTGACTTTAATTTTTGCCCACTTCAGTTTTACCAAATGCATTCAGAAACCAAGAAGAATTCTTTGTCTGAGTTGAAAAAAACAAAAACAAAACAAACACCACTTTATTTAACTAGCAAATTGAAAGAACTAGTAGGAGTCTTGTTCAGTGTGAGCCTATATGCAGTTTTCACATATCTCTGGAGTACCTTCCTTAGAGTGACTGAATGCAGCAACCAACTGTCAATGCAGTGCATTATCAATCAGCAAATGCAATGTCCTAAAACATCATAGATGGATGGCCAATAGTTTGTGCGTTATCACAACATATATGCGTATTGAGTACAACACTACCCTGCGAATGTGGACGAGGGTTAAGCATAAGTGTCTTAACGCTACTCTTGAAGCTTTTAGGCCAAGATTTTCAGAAGTGACTAGTGACTTTTTTGGGTGCCTACTCTGAGACATCTTAAAGGGGCCTAATATTTCAGAAAGTGCTGAACACTGACCCCTTTAAGGTATGCCAAATTGGGCACCCAAAACCACTAGTCAGTTCTGAATCTTGGCCTTTTTGCATAACTTGTTGGTGCATCAGAATAGGCAATAAGACTTCTGTGTACTGCAGTTGTGTTGGGAGCCAAGGGACTGGAAAGCAGCAAGCATGAGCTAACCCTGTGCCATTACAATCCATTGCAAATAGTCACTGAAAATTTATCCATGTTACTGGAAAAGCACCAGAAACACTCTAGTGTTCTACAAGCTTTTCTAGGGCTGGCCCGGTTAATACCTGTGACTTGCTGAAGTCCCTGAATAGAAATAAAACCAGTGATGCAAGTATGGTTGAACGGTCCAGTATACCGTACTAGTAAGATACAGGAGGAATCCGCCCCCAGCCTTTCCAAGCAACTGCATCTCCTGAGTCGTCCTGCCTAGAGGTCTGTACAGCAGAAGTCTCCGGCGCAGTAGGAGGAGGACAGGGACCCCCCAGTAACATGGGATGGATGTGGATCATGGGGAGGGGACAGGGAGAGCACAAGGGCCCCAGGGTGGGGACAGGGCAGAGAGGAGTCACATGGGGAGGTCACGTGCCCCTCCCCCTTTTGTGTCCCTCCCAGGAGTGCAGTGTACCAGTAAAAAATGATTTCTACTTGCACCACTGAATAAAAATTAAATTGGGTATAGCTCTCAAGACTTCGTAGCACCCCGTCTTAGTGTTTCCAGTGGACCCATATGGCCAAGGGAGTATGCTCGCTTGAACTGATCAGCACTCAAGTATTTCTCTACTGGATGATCCTAATAGAAACTTTAGAATTGCAGCTATGTACTAGGTAACTCTTGGACTTCAATTCACATACACCTCTGAGATAGGAAAGCTATATCCATATTACAGTTGAGAAACTCAGGGAAAAGTAAGTAGCTTGCCCAAGGCTCCATAGCAACTTAAGAGACACATTAAAGCCAGAGTTAAAAATAGGGAGTTTCTGGCTCCTGGACTAGGCACTCTCAGAACTTGACTCTAAAAGTAGTATTACTCGCTACTGTGTCTCTAGTCTCTTGTTCTAACTTTTATTTTAAACAAACTGCCTTATCCGTATAGTTTGCTGAATAAGGCCATTTAAATACACTTCAAAGGGCTTCTCCTTGATATTTAACTCAAGTTTGTCTGCTTTCATGGAGTTCTTGTGTTAACTGCCCTAAATGTAACATGACACTTGGGCTGATGTGGCTGTGTATTCAATGCACATCTTTCATCGTGTTGCCGCTTTGAAAATAGATCTACATAGCACCACATCAAATATGCCTTTCCTTTTAATACTATTTACTCTTTGTTACATCATCACCTTTAACTTTGATTGAAAGGATAAAAGGATAGGCCCATTCAATCTGTTCTACTCTTCCTTGTGATAGTCTTCTTTCTTCTTAATTCATTGCCTACACAGGATTATTGTGCCAGCAAATTTGGAGCTGTGGGTTTCCATGAATCTTTGAGCCATGAATTGAAGGCTGCTGACAAAGATGGCATTAAAACAACCCTGGTCTGCCCTTACCTTGTAGATACAGGAATGTTCAGAGGATGCAGAATCAGGTGAGTAGACCAACTGCATATTCTTTCTCTCTTCCTCCTGCCCTCCACACCACTGGAATTCTAGTCTTAATCTTCTAATTCTGAGCACTTTTTATTTTAAAAAACCCAACAAAAACACAGAGGTTTGGGATTGCATATTAATAGGAAAGGAAAAACAGTTGAAATGACACCAGCAGTACCTTTATTCATGTAACTCCTCTCAGCGTGTGGCAGTAAAGATGGGTGTGAGATGGGACACGTGCACTTCAGGGTAGGTGCTGGTGCAGCATATGTTCAGTGACTGACTACTGGCTTGGGGAATATCTTGCTAGTCATGTGTAGAGAAATGTTTCAGTTGTATAATTACTTTTGTATTTTTTTCTCCATATCCTATATTATGCCTGATGTAAGATGTTACTCAAAATACATTTATTCCAATACCAATAAAATTCTAGTGATTAAAGGTATTATGTGCAATGGGTTGATATGGCAATAGCTGATTTGCTGTGTGATCCTGGGCAAGTTGAGTTGCTTCCCTCGAGTTTAGCTTTTGTTTTTGAAGTAAGAATTATGACACTTGCCCTTTTTTTTTTTTTTTTTTTAAAGCACTCTGACATCCCGGGTTGTAGTGCTATACAAATATCCATTATTTTAGCGACAGTAAATGGTGTTAATCTCTTGAATGCATTTTCTAACAGTAGTCCTGGCAGGGATCTAGGCCAGCAAAATATTGACATTGTCTTTACCTGAAGCAATCTTTCATACACCAGCTGCACTAAAATTTAATAAGGTTCTTGATATTGAATTAAAATGGCACTTAATAGAACAACATGTTATCAAATTATATGTATTGTGTGTAGCTTAAATCTAATTATAAAGACCATCGATAATCTTATAAACAAAGCTAAAATAGTAATACAAAATCTTTGGAAAGTTGCTGCTACTTGAGTATTAAAGAATTAGTTTTTAAATACTCTAAACAAGTGATCTAATAAACTCTAGAAGTAGACAGACTCTGCTTTAATAATTAATGAAGTAAACAGATTTTACCAAAACTCATCTATCTACTTTGGTTAACCTGTTTTAAAAATGAAATCTTTCAGAAAAGAAATTGAGCCTTTCCTCCCACCTCTGAAACCAGACTACTGTGTAAAGCAGGCTATGAGAGCTATCCTTACAGATCAGCCTATGATTTGCACGCCTCGCTTGATGTACATGGTAACCTTCATGAAAAGGTAACTTGTGAAATACTAGCTACTAAGCACTTCAGACAGATGTACAGCTTTAAATCCAAAAAGCTTAGTCAGAGGCCTGTTTCCCTGGAGTTCTGTGCACAGATCTCTCCCTTGGCTCACAAGATCACTTTCCACAACATGAGCTCCATGGATCTGGGGACTTACAGGATGAGTGGCATGGCCAGGGGATGTTTATTTTTCCCCGTTCCCTTTTCCAGAAAAGCCTGAGGCTCCACTAATTTCCCTACAGCCGTCTTCCACGCTGTAGAACCCCATTTATGGGTGGATGCTGAGGTAGTTGCCAGCAGAAGAATCTGTAGCAGCCAAGCCCCAGAGTCAGTGCGGAGGCCCTAGCCTCCTGCAGATTCCCTGGGATCTACACAGATTGTGGGAGAGGGGGAAATCTGTAAGTAGAACCAACTATTCATTCTGAAAAGGCAGGGGAACAGAAACCTTCCTTTCTCCCCACTCAGTTGAGTGGTTTTTTTTGTTTTAATGTTTTTTTTTTTGTTTTTTTTTTAAAGTGGTGGGGACTCTGTTCTCTGTAGCTAAGCTTGCTATTACAGCATTGGGGTTTCCTCTCAATATTAGAGGCAGAACCAGACAAATTGCTCATAAGGAGCTGACTGGATTCCACCCTCTTGAGCAACACTCCATTCGTGCTGCTTTTTGGCAGCTCAACAGATGATCTATTCCTAGATTTTTATTCTGCAGTGTGCAGCACATAGGAAGAGCGTTTAAAACTTGGCAAAGTCTCTTTGTTTCAACCTTTTCTTATTGCCTTCTTGTGAGGAATTTGGACCTAGGAGTTTGAGGGTTCTGCTCCATTCATAACGCAGCAGCTCCCAATCATGGTTGACAGGCACACCCAAGAGTCCAGGAGGTGTTTTTGTTCCTCAGCATCATGTCAGCCCTTCTTGGGAGGGAGTCTGTGCCTCTTCTGGCAACAAGCTTTGTCGGCAACTCCTTTAGAACTGGCTGGAGCAGCAGCATGCTCAGTGGCTTCTTCAGAGGCTGCCTCGATGCTCTTTGCACAGACAGTGCTCCATGCAGCATCAGCAGCCAGATCAAAGGCCCTTCCTGTGGTCTCCCATTCAGCACTCCAGCTTTCCAACAGGGAGATCAAAGGCCCTCCCAGCAGCTTCTGGGCAATCCATGCCCCAGGCAGCAGCAGTTAGATCAAAGGCCTCTTTCCAGTGTTACTGCACAAGCAGTGCTACCAGTAGCCACAGAACCTGCATCAGCATCTACCTCCCAATGCTCCAGCAGTGGAGGAGTTGAATTCTAACAGCTCAGATCCTGCTGTGTGCCTCATTGGTCCCAATCCAGCAGCCATTCAGCTCCCAACATCTTACTTGGCACCTAGTGCATGACTAGGGCTTCTGGTTGCTATGGTAATACAAATATGTATGAGTGGAGGGAGGAGTGTGGAAAGCCTGCTTTCCCCATTGGAATTTCCTTGGAGAAGACTGAGGGGAACCTTACTCCTTCTTATTTTGGGGTACCTTCTATGGGAGGGATAATTGGGCCCAAAAGATGGGGATATGCGTTGCCACAGACAGTAAGTGGTTAAGCTATGGAGTTACTGCACATCTTTATCTCTACAGTTGTTTGGGAGTTTTGTGTCTCTTAAATGTACAGTGGCCTATTTTGCTAATGCTGCTTTGTGGGGAGGTTTAGATTTTAGCAGACCTTTTGTTTTTAAACAAGGTGACAGAGGCAGCATGGGCCAGGTCATGAAGAGGGTGTAAGGGTTCCATGCTAAAGGCTTAGAAATGAGTAGGAGACAAAAGAAAGAGGCTATCTATGTAGTTTGAGCGGACTTGTATTTTTATTCTCCATAAATATCCTAGTGAAATGAGAAACATAAATGTGTTGCCCCTTAGGTAGCCCAGAAATGGCTAAACTATATCTCCATAAAAGTGATCATGGTACACCGTAAGTTTCATTCCACTGCCATATAACAGATTTATAACCTCTCCCCTTTTCTTCAGCATCCTGCCCTTTGAAGCAGTTGTGTGCATGTACCGGTTCTTGGGAGCTGACAAGTGTATGTACCCTTTCATTGCTCAAAGAAAACAGGCTACAAACAACAATGAAGCAAAAAATGGAATTTAATACTGTTTTGTACGGACTGGCCTTTGTAGCTGAATATGATCAAAAATGTTACATGACTGAATTTTGAAGTGCACTTGCATCTAGCTGATGCAAATGTCAACATTTTACAGTGGCATTCTCTTGGATCTTAAACCTGTGTATTGAACTTAAAAATCAATGTTTTTTGTGGTTTTTTTTTTACATGCTGTAAATAAACTGACTATAGAGTACTTGGAAAATGTGATAGGTAAAGTGAATTTAAAATGTAGCTGCCACCATTGTTCTTTAGACTATTACTGTATGTACAGTAAAGCTAGTTATACTACTTTTTGTAGAGATGCACTGTGCGAGATCTTTTCCTCAGACTGCCAATGTTTAAAGCTGTCTACAACTAGAAGATGCAGTGTTTCAGAAATTGCTTTTTCTTTCTCTATGTATTAAAACAAAATCATGTAATTTAAACTACTCCTACGCGTGACCTTTTTAGCAAATTCAAGGACTGATTATAATGCGTCTTTCCACATGTTAACTCAAGCTGTAAAGGACCCAGGGCTGACCTGTGGTGTAATTCTCTTACGTAGTGACTGCATGCCTTCTGTGTTTAAAAGAAAAAAAAGGAGTACTTAGAGACTAACCAATATATTTGAGCATAAGCTCACTTCATCGGCCACAGCTCACTGTAGCTCACGAAAGCTTATGCTCAAATAAATTCCTTAGTCTCTAAGGTGCCACTAGTACTCCTTTTCTTTTTGCGAATACAGACTAACACGGCTGCTACTCTGAAACCTGTGTTTAAAAAGGAATTTGTAAATCTCCAAAGGCAAATAGATGTCTTTGGAATATTTTCAGAGCAAAGCTGTATTGGGCATCTCATTTTCTTTTTCCTGAGAAATGAAGTCTGTGGTTTAAGCCATCCAACTCTTTCAAGTCATTTGACTTGAAATATGCTCTGTGTTCTGTCCATCACTCTGAATGGCAGACTCCTGCCCTAGTAGACTCCATTTTTTTTCTTCCTTCTTAATCTTGCTTCCATCAGCCCCGCTGAACCCCCATCACCACACCCTCCGAGGAAGTTGTATTAAATTTCTGTAGCTGGGCTCTTGCCTAAAATACAAAGCAATTCCAGCAGAGATACAAATTGTTTATGTAAGTCCTGGTTTTGTGCCAACTATTAACAAAAGAAAAAGAAAATAATGCTTGATGCAACTTTACATGTGGAATATGGAACGGTGTAAAGACTTTTTTTTGAAAGTTGTATTTGCATTGTAGAACAGCAAATGACGTTTTTACGGTATTTTTTGTAAAGCAAACAATTTTGTGCCTTGAATTTGGTAATTTGTGTATTAGTGAAACATTGTAAAAGTGAACTTCTACCTCTGTATCTTAATGTATACCATCCACTTGTAAATTACTATCAAACAAATTATGTGATTACTTTTTTAGACTGTCTTGTTAAATAGTGACCAATGTTTGTTTATTAAAGTGAGCCACCTTTTACTTAAGCCGTGATTGGGATGTTTTCTTGAACGGCTTATTGATGTCACAGTACTAACTTACTGATATCGGTTACGTAGCCTTTAGCATCAACCTAGTTCAAATAATGAACAGTTACTCATTTCCTGAACTGACTTTCTGCATGTTATAGGACCTGGTGGTGCAACCCTTAATGAAGGTAATGAAAGTCTTGCCTCAGTAAGGACCGAAGGATTAGGCCTCCAGTTACAGTGTTTCCGAGCGATCAGATCTCTTTCGCTAACTAACTGGTTACAGAAGCCACTCAAAATACGTGCTTAGGATTTGTCTAAACAATCTTGGTTTTGGGTTTTGGCAGCACTTTAACTCCATCTGTTCAGAAACTGATAGACAATGCACTGTAACCCCCTACTGTGCGTACAGTTATACTGTAACAATCTAAAGGGCACTTGTGTCTATAGCTTGTTTCAGTAAAAATACCATACTGCCAATAAGTACTGTAGTTACAGCATATATACGAGGGGATTGTACTGCACTGACTATATGCTACTTCAGTTTGTTTAGAAACTAATACACTGTATGTAGACTAGTCTTTGTACTAAATCCCCCTATATAAACTACCAACTTTTAAAAAATAAGTGCTGGTTTTTCAAGGCTATACTGTCTGGTATATCTAAATGAACTTACCAAATTTGCTCCTTCAAAAGAACTTGCATTTTCTGTAATGGTAACACAGGAGGGAGAAGCTAGCTTTAAGCTGCTTCATTTCCTTTAAGGTGTTAGACAAGTGCCTGTGTTATTGTAAAAATTATTCTTTATGATAGTGACTTCAAATTGGAACTGGTTTAATAAGCTTTTACTTAGTCCCTGGCAGCCCTATACAGTTATACCAGAATGAGCTGGACTCTGTCCTTTTCTGGCATTAACTGTTTTTTGATTGTAGAATCTTCTTGTTTTCCCCTCATTTTCTTGCTGTAATATCCTGAGTTTGAAATTAAATGCTTGCTTGCATACTTGATCTGGAAGTTCTCTGAGAAGCCCCCCCCATATCGTTTTTATTCATTTTCTCATCTTAGTGACACTAACAAAGCCCAATGGTCATGGCACAAATGGCTGTCCTTTAAAACTTGAGCCATGAAGTGTGCCTGTTCCTGTCTATAATGATTTGAATACATTCCCTCCCAAAGCAGACCCTCATGAAGAAAATGCTTCATATAAAATAGTTCTCTGCTACTCAAGTAGCAAATGAATGACTGTTCAAAGTACCCAAAGAATGGGAAATAAAACTGGCTGCCACAAAAGTAAAATCAACATAGGAAGGAGTATAAGATGCCCAAAACAGACTGGGGAAGCAATAGTTGATGGAGGAATCTGATTTAAATTGACTTTGTAATAAAACGCTGAACTCTAAATTCCAGATAGTTAACTAGACTGCCACTCTTTCCTTCCAAAGAAGCCAGAATGATCAATATTTCTGTTCAGCAGCCATTTTAGTCTGTATCCGCAAAAAGAATAGGAGTACTTGTGGCACCTTAGACACTAACAAATTTATTAGAGCATAAGCTTTCGTGGGCTACAGCCCACTTCATCGGATGCATAGAATAGAACATACAGTAAGAAGATATGTACACACAGAGAAGGTGGAAGTTGCCATACGAACTGTAAGAGGCTAATTAATTAAGATGAGCTATTATCAGCAGGAGGAAAAAAAAAACTTTTGTAGTGATAATCAAGATGGCCCATTTAGACAGTTGACAATGACCCAGCCACTCTCAGTCTCAATATATGCAAACTAGATAGCATTAACTTGGGTTTGAATAGAGACTGAGTGTGGCTGGGTCATTACACATATTGAATCTATTTCCCCATGTTGAGTATCCTCACACCGTCTTGTCAACTGTCTAAATGGGCCATCTTGATTATCACAAGTTTTTTTTTTCTCCTGCTGATAAAAGCTCATCTTAATTAATTCGCCTCTTACAGTTTGTATGGCAACTTCCACCTTCTTGGTATGTGTGTATGTATCTTCTTACTATATGTTCTATTCTGTGCATCCGATGAAGTGGGCTGTAGCCCACGAAAGCTTATGCTCTAATAAATTTGTTAGTCTCTAAGGTGCCCCAAGTACTCCTGTTCTTTTTGCCAATATTTCTGTGACTGTGGAGTCAGCGATATGGTGGTAAATAAACACAATCCCAATTAGTCTGGTGTTCTTCAGCATGGCTATAAGATGGGGGCAGGGAGACGCCTATGACTGGGGGTTTTTGCCAGGTTAACCAAATTCATTACTTTTTTTTTAAACCCTGGGGCTATCTATGTTTAAGTAATATTAAAGAATACAGTACTTTAAGATATGTGCTTCCTTTTTCACTTTGTGCCGACACTACACAATAAATAAATCTTTGCCATAAAAAGCTTTCAAACTATAAGATGGGGCACCTAAATACCAGGTCAAAAGTAGGGATTAATTTAGTAGGGTGTTTGTTTCCCTCTCCCTAGACTGTACTAAGTATAATTAATGTCAATCCAGGCTATAATATTTCCCAAAATCTCTCTAAAAATCAGTGTCCTAACTAAAAGCCTCATATTATCTTTCAAACAAATTACCCTGTACTGATTTTAAACCATGTTTTCAACAAACTGTGTGCCTGGCCAAGTATCTATGGGCTTTAGATGACTGCAACTTTTGTTTCCCAATCCAGTTAAGAACTCTTGCAGCAGTGAGACCAGGGACTAGCTAAAGCCTAGTCATCAGGACAGCTAGTGGTTTTATCTAAGAAGTCTATGATGAGCTTTCATTGGTGGTGAATTTATAAAGCATACCAAAAGGATACATAGTGTGCATTTTAGCTGCTGTTTTTTCATCAGTTTATTGGATGTTTATACTAGCCCTTAATCACCAAAGTTCCCACTGTACTGGTTCAGCTCTGGGGGTGGTAGCAACCTTGAGACCACTACATGTACATACAGTAGCAGGTAGCTGTCATTTTTAAGTACCATGCTTGCTTAACTGCTCAGAGCAGGTCTATGTATCGTCATGCTTAAAGTGATGGTGGCTGCCAAATTCTTGTCCTCACCAATGCTAGCAGTGGTAGGAAATTTGAGAAATAAGCAGTGTGCAGATGAGACCAAGGCTACCAACAGAAGGACCACAAACGAGAACAGGTCCTAAAAAATGTTGTGTGAACTTTCTCATCTCCCTAATATCCCCTATCCAAATGACAAATACCAAACTTCTGTCTGCTTGCTGTGGCTTAAAATAAAATCAATGTAGTGATTGCTCTCTGTACTTCATTTCCAGAGTTTAACCCTCTCTGTTAAACAACCACAATCTTACATTAAAGTTTAATTTGTTGTTGACATACATCTTTCAGTATTTGCAAAATAAGGCACTCGGTCAGTTCCAAGGACAGCTGGGAATGTATGAGGAATACTGCAGAAGGGGGAAGGTGCAGGCTGTTCAAGTGGTTAGGTAAAGGGTCTCTCTCTAGAACACTTTTATGGCCCGCTAGAGGAAATTGATCAATACAGAGACAAATAAGCAAATTCACTAGTTAGGGCAACAGGCCTACCTTTATTGAAACCTCCAAAGACCATAAAATGTTTGTAACCTTTCTGATGGAAGTAATTTTTAAAAAATAATTTGAAAAGTATTTTAATAAGGGAGTCTTATTTATAGTTTGAGGAGAGTGCTTATCAGCCACAGCTGTTGATGAGATTGCGGTATTCTCAAGGGAACAAGTCATTTCAACCTCACTTAAAGAGAGAGGCGGTCATTTAAACTGACTAGTTTGAATCACTGCCTAAGAAAGTCAAACCAGGGGGTCAGAAATGCCATGCCTAAAGTCTCTTCTCAAGACGTGGTTTTAGTTGAAGTGAACAATTAGGCTAGATTAGGGAGGCAGATGCTCCAAGCAGCTTTCCTCCCTCCTCTGAATTTTTGGTATGTAAATATTTGCAGTCCCATTCAAAGAGTCTCATCTGAAAACCTGGAGTATTTAATGAGAACAGTTGGGTGAGCCAAACCCATCCCCTTTTACTGAAGGGGCAAAAAAACACATGCAAATCCGTAACTCATATGCTTGTAAGGCCCAAATCTCGTTTTCCAGAAACTGCATTTTTCCTTTCCCTTTTCTTCTGACGCATGAACAGTCAGATGTGAAGATGCTTTCAGTGTTCCTGGGATCCACCTTGGCAAGCTGCGCCTTTGTTACTAAACATTTGGAATTGGATTTAAAATTATTCTCTCACATGGGACACATAATACAATCTGCTGCCTTGAAAATTTGTCAGCTAAGTAGCCTGTGGGACTGAGAGGGCTGGGAAGCAGTGAAACTAGTACAGCACTCTGGGCCAGAGGGAATGAGACAGAGCAAAAGCTAAAGCCCCACTGGAAAAATCATTAACCTCAGATTCTACAGCTGCTGTAACTTCCTGTTCCATCATTGTTTGGAGTTCTTCCTCAAGTTGTACTCCTTGAAGATAATTCCAGCAGCACAGAATCATAGAAAGGCAGGTCTGGAAGGGACCTTAAGAGGTCAAGTCCTGCCTCCTGCACCAAGGCAAGACCAAGTAAACCAGACCATTCATGACAGGATTTTGTATTTGAAACCCTGAAGTTTCTCACCTGCCAGAGATACTGTATCTGACTCTGCTGTATTTCTCATTGGGGATGGATGCTCTGGTTTGGGTACAAAAGAATGGAAACTATTTGGAGGGGTGGGGGTTAAAAGGTGCTATGCATTTTTGTTTGTTTACTGTTGTTTTTTGCCTCTACGTCTCTGAGCCCAAACCAGGCAATTCAGAAAGAGCAAAATGAAGTGAAAGAGGCTATTCTTTTGGCATTTTCTGACTGGCCTGCACACAGATTTCTAGCCCAATTTCAATTACAGCTACAGGGGGGAGAGGTTGAATTGCTTGTCCTTAGAGCTATTCGGTGGCTTAAAACAAAGGCATCTCTGACATTAGAAAAATGCAACACCAGGCAGAAGGCACAGCGCACACACTCTGCTAACTCCCATCCTCTCTA